TTTTAAAAACGCTTAGCTGGCTTAAAAAAGAGCGAGGCCCCGCGCGGCGTATAGAATCCTGGAACGATGGAGTTGGAAAGGGGCTCTCCAAGACCATCGGGTCCGACCCCCTTGCTCAAGTCAGGAATAAAAAGATCAAATAATAATCATTGATCAAATAACAGATCGAAACAGATCAGCTTTCTCTTGAAGGCCTCCAACGCTGGAGCGCTCAGCACCTCCCAGGATCCATTGTTGTACTGCTCTAACAATTAAGAGTTTTTTTCCTGATATTCAGCTGAGATCTGTCTTGCTGTCTCTTGAGTCCATGATGATGCTCTGGGATGATGACGGAGAACAGATCTTGCCAAGCCCCCCCAACAGCCACCGGTCCTGGTCTGGTTCACTGTTCCTTTGTGACTTTCCGTGTCAAGTTTATCTTGTGAATGATGATGGAGAACAGATTTTGCCAAGCCCCCCCAACAGCCACCAGTCCCAGTCTGGTTCACTGTCTTTTGTGACTTTCCGTGTCAAGTTTATCTTGCAAGGAGGCACCCACCATCTTCTCCTTCCTTTGCGTGTGCGTGTGTGTACGTGTGCGCATCCATGCCTCGCGGTCAAGTGCGCCAACGACGGTTTTTGCCCACGGAAATTGCGCTGCTGAAGACGGCAAACAGGCACCGCCGTTAGGCGCGTGGAATATGGCAAGGCGCTTTACGGGCACACATGGGGCAGCTGTCATTAGCCAATTCTTTTCCACTCCCCGAAGCCGTGGGTCATCCACGGTGCTTTGAGACACCTCGAGCCGGTGGGACGATGGGAGGAAAAGGGTCTCTCCTCTTTTGCCTCTCCTCCCTGCGTGTTTCTTAGGGTTTCGTCCCACTCTTCACCCCCTTGTGACGGATCTAGCCCCCCCTTTTCATCTGGCTACTGTTTCTATGGTTACCGTAGTTCTCTGCAAGAGTGTGTGTGTGTGTGTCTGTGTCTGTGTGTGTGCGTGCACGCATGTGGGCCATGGTAGGACCCGGGAGCGACCAGAAACCCCTCTGTCCCTCTGGATCAGGCAGGGATTTGACAGGAGACGGACGGATGGTGTGTTGTGTACCGGAGAGTGACAGGCAGAGAGACAAAGAAAAGGAGCAGAGAAGGGAGAAGGGAGACCTATCTGCGTTCTTCGGCTACCAGGGTTGCCCCCAACAGGTTGTCCTCTGAACAGGCTTCTCGAGAAAATCTAGATTAAAAAAGAATGGCTCATGGGTAGCGGGCGGAACGAAGCTGCCCGGCGATTGAAGCTGCCCGGCGATTACAAATTCCATGTGTGTGTGTGTAGATATAAAAGTTGACTCCCTATAGCACGGGGGCAGAACTAAATTGCTCTTTGGGCATGGCCCGTTTTGGAAATGCAAAATGTGCACGTGGAAGTGAGGAGTTTGGTTTGGTTTCCATGCCAGGCGGCTTGCATTCTTTTTTTAAAAAAACAAAAAAAGTTTTAAAGGTGAGCTACTTGTGAGGGTGCCTGGATGTACACGTGTCACTGCAGAAACCCACAAACCTGGTCCGAGGTGGGTTTACCTAGGATTATTTCATTTTATTTTAAAATCAGTTTTGTGGAGCTGGTTAGAAACTGATCAAACAGAGAAAGCACTGATTAGAGTTTAATAAACACGGCCCTTGAAGAAGGCTGATCGGCCGAAACGTGTTGGGCATTTTACACTGAAATAAGGACTATGATATTTTATTTTTTACATCCCGGGACTACGGTCTTTTTCTCACCCCCCCTTTTTTTCAAACCTGAGATTTGCAGTAAAACAATTGCAATAAAACTGATCAAGAGACTTGTGAAGCCTTGAAGGGCAGCCAATTTATCACGGCACAAGTGTTTCTAATTTCAAATCCGTCGCCTTTCGCTGTATAAAAAGGAGCCCAATCTTGCTGAAGGGTGGGTCTGTTTGTAAGTGTAGACTGTGTTCGAGGCTAGCACAAAAGCTGATTCCCTTACAACAACCATCATCCCTTTTTTAGATGCCACAAGTCTCCGGTAATATTCCCCCAAGATGGTCATGCTTGTGATCATTCCCTGTGGATGACACACGAGGGAGGCCTGAAAAGCATGCATGGAGACACTGTTTTTAGTGCCCAAGCGAGCCGCTCATGTGGCACGCCCCACGGCTGAGATGCAGCCAGCTGTGGCCATGGGGCATACGTGGAACATCCCTCTACAGGTTAAATGTGCGAGCCAAGCCCCCTTTCGGATACCTCGGCAGCAAACCGGAAAAGCTGACGTGGTCTGCTGTGCTATGTCTTCAAATTTATTGCGGTCGTAACGTGGAGCTGGGTGGCTGCTGGTTCAGCATACATTGCCGGAGTTTATTAGCCTCCTTCCCTCTCCGGTCGCTCTCCCAGCCAAATCGGGATGCGGCTTTTCGACATCCAGGAACACAGTCTTGCTTACATGTGAGTCAAATGCACACCACAATCACAGACGCAGAGTGGTATATTCATACAGATTGCCTGTACATACATGTACAGGCAATCTGCTGCAAATTCGTTTGTTCTCATCTCTGTTTTACGCTGTGCGAGTAATTTTCCAATCTGGTGTTTCCTGTTGTTGCTTCGTAATTCTGGATCCTTTTTTATCTTAGCAAAAGTCTGGCTAGTTGGCGTTTGAAGCGATGCAGGTCAATTAAGCATTGCCCACATCGTTGGCGGCTTGAATTTTGCCATTTTTATGTATCAGGTTGGCGACCCAGCCTTTTCAGTGGTGGCCCTCAAACCCCAGAAGGGGTTCACGAAAGTTGGAACGGCGGATATGCAGGAACGGATCGGCTCCAGTCCGCTTTCAAGACTTATTTGAGGGGGGAAAAATTCCCAAGATCCTCAGCATAATTGGTTTAAAAAGCTGCCGTAATTCCACCGAACGAACAAAAGACAGATCTGTGAGGAGGGGCAGGATCTGTTCTTGATCATCCCAGAGTGTGGGATACACACAATCATGGGCTCAAGAGACAGGAAGCCAAATTTAAACTGAATATCAAGGGAAAAAAACTTCTCAGTTGTTAGAGCAGTACGACAACGGAGCCCATTGCTTTTGGAGGCGGTGAGGGCTCTCGAGGCTGGAGGTGTTCAAGGGGGAATTAGACAACCCTCCATCAGATCTGCTTTAACTTGGATTCCTGCCGTGAGCAGGGGGGGTTGGACCCGATGGCCTTAAAGGCTGCCGTTCAATTTCATGAATCTAGAATTTATAATGGACACACATCTGCAGACAAGGGGGTACCGGTTTCAGAATGGGTCTTTGACGCATGCGTCCAAACCCCTCTTGCCATCTGGAGAAAGCCACAATCCCCTGCCCCAGACGACTGAAATTGACTCTCTTGCTTGCAGTGAAATTGACGCACAAGAAGGAGAAGTGGACCCTAGAGGAACAGCCGGCTTGAAAAGGTTGGAAAAATGGAAAACACTTTCTCGGAGAGCAGGTCACAGACAGCGAGATGCGCGTATGAGTCAAGGCGCCGGGGCCTCAGCTGGTTTCCTGTTGTGCATTGTGTGTATGTGTGCGTGTGTTAATTCTCCAGATGCTCCCTTTTGCTCCCAGTGTGTGGGGTTTTTTTTCAGAGCCACAGACTCGGTGGGTGTATTTGGGGGGCTTTATAAGCTTGCAAAGGCTGCCTCTCCTTCTTCCGTTCTTCTTCTCTTCTGTTCCTCCTCCTCGGGGCGGATGAATGCACCCCCCGGAAAGACAAGTCCCAGCAGGCGGCCCGGGAAGCCAGATCGGCTCCTCCACCTGGTACACCTGGCGAATCTGGTGGATTAAAGCCGCTTTGGAGGGCTGTGTGGGTGGGAGGTCGGGGAAGAAGCGGGCGGCAGCTGCTCGGCTTCACAGGGCAGGCCCATTGTTGGGTTTTTTTTGCAAAGAAGAGGATGGAGAATTTGGGGGGGGGGCTCCAAGAGACCCCTGCAGGCGAGCCAGAGGAACAGGTGCAGGAAGCGAGCATAATCCCCTTGGGACGTAAGAGGGTGCGTTGGGTTGGGGAGCTACCCCTTCTCCTTCATTCTTGGCAGGTTGCTCCCTCTGGACCGAGGTTTATTCGGTGCGAAAGGGAAACACAGCTCCAGGTTTCACAAACGGGGGGTAAGACAATTCCAGCCGGAGAAACACTGGTAAACTGGGATGGGCCCTGTCTTGTAAGGGGTGGCCAGTAAAACAACATGTATTGGGAGACACACACACACCCTCCAAAGCCGGCTTCTGTGTATGCAGGTCTTCTCAATCGGCGTGGAAAACCAGCCGTTCTCTACGTGGTAGGAGGGAGCTGCAGGAAGTGAAGGAAAAGAAGCCTACCAATCTACTTGTAGATCTAGAAAAGAGAGAAATGCTTCTGGCTTTTTTACGTCCCTACTGCCCATTTCCCGCGGATTCAGATTGCTTTCTCTGTGTGTGCTGGTCTGCCATTCCCAGCCCCTTAGACCATGCCTTTAGAGGCCATTCCTATCTAGGTTTGTAGACATCTGATGGGTCTATTTCCTCCCACATTCTATTTTTGAAATTTCTTTCAGTCTAACTTACAAAGAACGGTGTGACTTTTTATACTTTCTCAGAAGTACTGCAAACCGGAGTCAGCGCACGGTGTCTGGTGACGACGACCCCATTCGGACAAAAACACGGATGTCCTGATTTGAGCCCCTGAGGCTGGGTTGGGTGCAGGAGGCTCCTAACCCTGAATTTTAAGAGCAAAAGGTTCTCTTAAAAGCTCTCTATTTTGAGGAGTGGATCGGCCCACCCAGCTGCATCCCAGTTCAGTTTCTTCCAAATCTTGTTGCCTTTTTTTAAAAAAGTATTTATTCCTTTAGAAAATCCATTCAGAGAACAGAGGAGACAGTCCTAAATTTAGGTCTGTAAACAGCCACTTTCCACGAGAGCTGCCCTAAGCTTCCACGTTCAGTGGCAGGATATCTCCAAATGCTAGACGCAAAGGCAAAACGGCCGCTTCCTTCTCTTCCCTCCTTCCTGGAAAATTTCAGCAGGCTCCTTCTGGATATAGACCACCAGCGGAGAGAACTTCGCCTAATCTGATCTGCAGGATTCTTGTTGCGTTTCTTGCACGTAGGCGACAAATGTTTGCAAGCCGGGAACGAGCTAGACATTTAAGAGTTCTCTCTCCTTTTAAAAAATAAAAAATAATCAAAACAGTTTCGTGATCTCTGGACCCCACTCCTGGTCCCCTTTGAAGAGATTGTAGGGGGGCTTATCCGGATGGAAGGACTCGGGTTTTCTGTGACCCCCAACCCTACCCAAGTATGTTTCAAAGGATGGCCCAATATGGCTTGTGCCTCTTTGTTTTAAGAGCTGAGATGTGATATCCAATCCACAGCTGCCTTAGCAAGAGCTATAAAACAACAGCGCTAAAGTAGCCTGACTTTTTCCTGACTTACATCTAAGAGTAACTTTCCTGCTGAAATCTATTTTGCCATGAACTTTGGACCTCAACATTTGAGTAACTTTCTCAGCAAAATCCATCGTGCCAAGAGTGTTTGGATTTCAAGTTCTTCACGCTTGGCGGAGTGGATGGTCCTGGTCCGTGAAAGCTTCCGGATGGAACTATGATGATGATCATCATTTTAAAGTGGTCTGTAGAGGCATCGCTTCCTCTTTGTATTTTCTCTGGGAAGAGGAGACGCAGAGACCCGCCTGACATCTCTCTCCCTTCCCTCTCGGTGGCTGGAGAGGAGACCAAAAAAAAAATTGTGATTTGGGTACATGACGACACATGTTAGACGGTGCAGGACAAATAATAACAGACGTTCCTGTCTTTCTGTCCATCCCTTGGTCTCCACTTCCTGCTAGATTACCTGTTGGCTGCTAGCAGCTTTGAAGAAACCTTGTCTTGCAGAGGCCAGAAGCCGTGGGAACAGCTGTTGTGTCTGCCTGAGCAGGTCCAGCTGTGGGTCTCTGTACCTCCTGAGCGGCCTTATGCTCCTGGCAGTTGCTGGCAGGCCAGGCCCCCTCGGAGCAGCTGCCGATTCCCTAAAAGGGGAGAGACTTTGGGGAGTGTGTGTGTGCGTGGGGACACACACTGACATTTTAAATCTGCATTTCGAATCTGCCTCCCAGCGGCAATCATCTCAGCATCGCTGCGGGTCCTTTCCTACGAAACGTTACATGATTCCCTAAAAGGGGAGAGACTTGGGGGAGTGTGTGTGTGTGTTGGGGACACACAGTGGCATTTAAAATCTGCATTTCGAATCTGCCTCCCAGAGGCAACCATCTCAGCATTGCTGCGGGTCCTTTCCTACGAAACGTTACACGATTTGTTGGAGAGATCCGTGGCTTTGTGTCTGCTTATTAATAATGGGGTTTATTCTGGCACGGAGTGATGTGGAGTTCCACAGGCCCTCTCTGGGAAGACTTGGCTGGATCCTATACAAGAGTCTACAAAACGAACCCCAGAATTTGCGTGGCACCGGCTTTGGTCTGTTATATTCATGTTCTGTCCTGTTCCCCTCCAGGCATCACAAAGACAACACCCCTCACCCTCCTTCTCATGTTATCTTCAGACATCACGGCTGCCTTGCGGGGAAGGCCAAAGGAGCAAATCAACACACTCAAGATGAGTTTCAGTGCTCACTGTGGACTAGAACCTTGATGGCCTTGACTTTCCTGTCCAGCACTTCAGAGGCAGGCTGTCCCAACCCAACCAAGAATCTTTTCCCCAGATATCGTGGCAGACCAAGGGCCTCCCTCTAAAACTGTGCGGCCGAAGGAGCTAAACATGCCTGTTTTAAAAATGGAATATAATGCCACAACTTGGTTGTGTGATGGATTTTTTTTGCTAACAACAACAAAAAGATTTAACTTTAAAAATGTCTGTTTCCCTACTTGCATTTTTCCCCCCAATCATGCATCTGAAAATATTTGCAACTTCTAGAGGATTCTAATTAAAAAATGAGCTGAAGCAGGCTATGATACCCGGGCTCATGGATACACTGGGTACAGTTAGCATAGCAGAAGCTTCTCGTGTCAGCATTAACTGCCCTGATCCTGCCTGATCTCAGATCTACCACCGGCACAACTGGATCTTACTTGCGCGACTGCTATGCTGCTCGAGGTCAACCTGCAGAAGAGCTGAAAATGTGGCCGAGGGAAGAGGCGTGGGAGAGCAGCTGATCCCAGACCATCTCAGACCAGATTCCTCCTCCTCGTCACTGTCCTAGCACACAGCTAGGCCAGACGTAGGTTGACCCAAAATAATTTCCAAATTCTTTCGGGGAGGAGAGCTTGGGGTTCAGCTCCATCATAGCTGGCTTCAGCGGCAACCAGACACAGAGATCATCCCGGATGGGTTGAGCTGGATTCCAAGTTTGTGAAATTGCAGGGTAGTCTTTCACCTGGAATGTTTAATTATCCCAGGTAATTTTCAGGGCAGTTGTCCAAACCACGCCTCAAATTGCTATAATTCTCACTGGAAGCAGAGGTTGCCCGCCCTCCTCTGCCATTAACACTGCCCTCTGCTCTACCTCTAAAAAAACCAAGTGGGTTGTTTTTTTTGCAAATGACCTAAGGCCTTGTGAAACTGCAGCGCTCATCTGACATAGCGCTAAATTGGACGTGCATAATTTAGAAAGCACAGAAAATTCTTTGGAGGAGAGACAAGAGGCACTCGCGTGAGTGGGATGTTCCCACTGATGATGTCACGGTCAACATATCTCTAGGACGTACCTGCCACTCCTCCTCTGGATGGACATAAGTGTTCACGCATGCCAGAAACCACCACCACCCCGGAAAACAAGCAATCAGAAAGTGACAGATACTCACAACAAAAGAATGGGCTTACTTGCAATTAGTTGTATGTTATGTACAGTGGAAAATATATTGACTTTAACGATGCCAACTCTGGCACAAACTGCAGGGTAGACCCTTAGCATAACCCCAGCTGGTCCTCAACTGTTTTTTTTTCCGGCTAGGACTCTACCCCAAATTCTCATTTGGACTCCTTACTATCTTTTCCAGGCATAAAAATCCTATAAGCAGAATCTTTGCTATTTGTCAGTGGCTTGATCGGTCCTCCAAGGATGAGAATCTGTAGCTCCTTCTCCAGGGGGACAGTGGTATCATCTTGACGTCACGATAGCTGCCAATGGTAAGGAGCCTCAGGGTTTTGTCACTTGGCGGGGGAGGGCTGCTTTGAACTCTCTGCGGTATTTTGGGACGGGACAGCAGGGTTGCGTCCGTTCTTCAGCCCTTCTCTGAGCGACACACCTCAAGGAGCCGTCGTTTGGCGCGCCGTGACGGTCGAGGCGCTCTCGAGCGGGCCCAACTGGGTTTGCGTGCTGGGCCGGACGGTTGGCCTCTTTCTGACATGTTTCCCAAACACGAATTTTGTTTTGCTTGCATTAGGCATGGTGGCCTCTCTCTTTCTGTCTCTCCCATGACAAATAAGCTGTCAGACTAGATAGAACAGGGTCGCCCACATTTTTTAAAAAAAGGGTAAAAGCAGCTCCTCCCTCGCCCTTAAGACCAGGCTTGCAGGACTCTTCCCGCGCGCCTTTCGAGCTTTCTCTCCCTGCCACGGGTTTAAGGACATGCCTCTCGCCTTCTGCATTGCAACCAGCCAAGATGGACGTTTCCTACAGCAAGAACATCCCAGTCGGGCTTTGCTCGCCGTGATGATGCGGGCAAGGCCCAAGCACAGCTCTGAGGTCGTGTCCCGTGCGTGAGAGACCTCTGGTGTGGCACGCAACGCCAGCCGTGGCTCTGTGGAGCCTCGCCTTCTTGCCACAGTTGTCCCTACCCTGCTTTGTCCCCATGAGCAGGGAGAGAGCTAGTGTCTCGCTAAGGAACCGGAGCTACCGAGGCGGTAGATGATGGTAATCATTTCTGGCATTGGCTTCCCCCCCTGCAGCCTTCTTTGCTTCCCGACCCCTGCGTCTCCCCATGGAGGGCACGGAGGGCTCTCTCTTCCGGCAGGAGCCTGACCTAGATCGCTTTCTGGCCCTTCCACTCTATAGCCCTGTGCATTTCTTGGCCGCATGTCCGGTGGCACGCCAGGTGCTGAACACCACCAAGATCCACCGGTCTTGATCCGTGGCAACAGGCCGGGCGTTTGGCTTGGATGCATCCCATTCCAAAGCTTGGAAAGTTCCTTGTAAAAAGTAGTTATGTGTTCAAGCCCTTCTCCCCATGATCTGCTATTTTTTTAAAAATTAAACCTGCAAGAATTTTTCGGCCAGCGGCATTTGATCCTAATCGGATAACGGGCAGATCTCGGGCAAGGGTCTTGTGTTACCATTCGTCGGAAGTTAACGAAATAGCGGGCTTTTCGTTTCGTTGCTTAAAAAGCACCCGTAACTCAAGTGGGAGGAAGTCGGGGAGCCGACGAAAGAGTTTGGAAAACTTAGCTATACCAATAATTATAGGGGCACCCCAACGGGCGCCTGCCTCTCCCGATGACTCTCCTTCACACACCCCAAGCAAGAAGAAGAATAGAGCGCAAATCTGTCCTTCATCTGCAGCTCACAGATTGAACGGGCGAAACCAGCCGGTGGATAATCCCTCGTGTGGCTTTCTCTGGGCACAGCAGTTGTGCTGGTGCTGATGAAAGTGTGTGTGTCGAGGGGTATGTGTGTGTGAAAACTGAATGGGGATGAATCTCCGCGAAGGTTTCCATGGCAACTGAACGCAGCTTCTCTTTTGCTTATAAGGATGGTGCGCGCACCCCCCGGGCGTCTCTGTGCGGTCCCTGCTTTCTGCCCCCGGATGAAGAACAGAGGCCGAATCTTTCTACTCAGCTTCTTTTAAGAGGATATAGAAAGCCGAAGGTTTCCATGGCAACTGAACGCGGCTTCTCTTTTGCTTAGAAGGATGGCGAGCGCCCCCCGGGCGTCTCTGTGCGGTCCCCGCTTTCTGCCCCCGGATGAAGAACAGAGACTGAATCTTTCTGCTCAGCTTCTTTTAAGAGGATATAGAAAGCTGAGGTAACAGGGAAGCAGGGGGAAAAAAACCCGCTCCCCCAACACCGTGTTCTGCAGGCGCAGGAATCTAGTGTGTACGCTAAAATTTAAATTGCGGTGTTTTTTAAGGAGACACCTGCAGAACGACGGGGTTTATTGTCAGTGGCGTTGAGGCCATGGGTAACCAACCTGTCATGAGGTACTGGTCCCCCTCTGTTCGGCCCTGGTGAGGACTCCTCTCGAGTCCTGTGTCCAGTTGTGGACAACACACTTGAAGAAGGATGATGACGGACTGGAGCAAATTGAGAGGAGGGCCACCAGGATGATCAGGGAGGCTGGAAACGAAGCCCTAGGAGGAAAGAGGGAAAGAACCGGGCCTGTTTAGCCTTGAGGAAAGAAGACAAAGGGGAAAAGACAATAAGGTATGCAAAAGTCGAAGGCTGCAGGAAATGAGGAAGACCCCATACGAGATAGGCTGACTCCCTAAATGAAGCCACAGGCTTGAGTTTGCAAGAGGACATGGTGGAGAACACTCATTCATCGCTTTAATTCGGCAGTGACTTGATGCCCCCTAAGAACAACATACGTGTTTATTCTCAGGACATGGTGGAGAGCACTCATTCATCGCTTTAATTTGGCAGCGACTTGACGCCCCCTAAGAACAACATACGTGTTTATTCGCCCAGGAAAGCTTTGTGTATTCCTTAGCACCGTCCCACATCCCAGTTTGTCAAAACATTCACGGGGCCCTGGCAGATAATAAAAGGGTAATGCTAACAGAATACAGTAAAGCCAAACGACTACGTTAAAAGGAGTTGTCAATGGAATTCTAGAATTGCTCTCGGGGTGCGCTTGGATGTTGGCCAGTGGCTGGGGAAGGAGGGGTTAACTTTGTGATGGAAAACAGTCCTCCTGGATTCGGAGGGGGGGGGCGTAATGGGGAGTCCTGCAGAAACCGAATCCACATCCCATCTCCTCAGACCCCTCCTGAGATGAAACACGTCTCACCTTGGAAATTCCTACACCCTGTGGTGCATCGTGGAGAAACAACGGTCTCCAGAAAACCATGTGCGCATTTTTTGACAAGGGTGAAAAAAGGCACAGCCCAAAATGTGTGCCGTTAAAAAAATACCTTTCGAAAATGCAAAGAATGCCCGTTCTTGAGGCGAGCAGCAGAGAAAGGCGCTTTGAAACAGGAGCTGCTGCTATGTTTTCCTTCTTCAAAACCCCTTATATTTCACGTGTGTGCATTTTTTGGGGGGTGGGTGTGTGGGGAGGCTGCTGTTAAATTGTTTTGAATTTCGTGGTCTTTTAGCATGATTGCGTTTAATGGCGTTTTTTTTGGGGGGGGGGAGGCTGCTGTTAAATTGTTTTGAATTTCGTGGTCTTTTAGCATGATTGCGTTTAATGGCGTTTTTCAACCACTCGATTTACGAATGTGTTGTTGCCTCAACATTTTGTGAGCGTTCTTGGGTCCCTCGGTGGAGAGAAAGGGGAGAAGAAAATAATGGAAAATAAAGCCGCTCCAAGTCGAGTCCAATAAAAGACCCACAGAGCAACTTTGGGGATTGAAAAAATGCATGCAAAGCCGTGCAAATTAGGAAAAAGGGTTACAAAACCCATCATCCTTGGGATTCCCAGATCGCAGCTGTGTTCAGATCTGCCTTGGCTTATCACCCATCTCTGCCCTTACCTAGATGAGGGATCCCTCCGGACTTCGGTGCACAGGTCCTCTCCTGGATTGACTACTGCAATTATCTGTACATAGGGCTTCCCTTGAGGCTGAACCAGAGACTACAGTGGGTCCAGAAATAAATAAAAAAATAAATAAAATAATAAATCTTTCTAAAAAGCATAGAAAATGAAAGATCAAGGAAGGAAGCCAAGAAAAAAGTCTTACAAGCTGATAAGGAAAACCGACGGGCCAAGAATGCCGATAGTATTTGGAGTCAAGCGACAAGGAGTGGGAGTTGATCCTCGACAAGCACTTACCTCAAACTCTCCTGCTTTCTTGAATTGGAGGAGCCGGCTTCCCTCACCCCATCTCGAAAGAGACCCAAGTCGCGAGACATACAGTCAAGGCCTCTTCAATCCACTGCCAGATTCATAAAATATAGCAGTTGGTAGAGATGGATACGAACCACCAGTTTGCCAGTTCGTTCCAGTTCGTTTTTTTGTCCGAACAGGTGTTCGGCAATTCCTGCCCTGCCTCCTCCAGCAGGCGCCCGCTCAGAGGCAGCATCCCGGCTTCTCTGCCCTGCCTCCTCTGTGACCTGCCTCTAAGAGTGAGCGCCTGCTGGAGGAGGCAGGGCTCCGAAGCGCTGAACACCCGTTCGAACAAAAACCGAACCAGCACGAACTGACAAACCACCAGTTCGTGCCCATCTCTAGCAGTTCGTCTTTTTTTCCCTCTGTCTCCTTTATTTTATTTTTGTTTTATTTTTGCCTGACATACTATATTAACATGGCAACCTCTTCTAAAACTGTTTTTCTCAAAGTGGACCTACTATATTAACCTGGTGACATCTTCTAAAACTGTTTTTCTCAAAGTGGACAGGGAAATAATTCCAGACAACCCACTCACGGGATGGACAGTCTTTTCTGTTCCTGCCGCTGAAATGAAAGGTTCGCAGATGTTAGTTTGTAAGTTGTATTTGTACGTCAAATCGTTTAGAAAAACCTCACTGCTACTCCATTTTGGACCCAAGGTTCAAGTCTCCACCAGCCATATTTTCCTCCTTCCAAAGTCATTGGTGTAAAGCTGAAGTCCTTTCTTAAAAACAGGGCGCCCGTGGTTTCGGCTTGCGGATATCATGGGATGGTGACCACATGAAACGGAGAGCAGTGGTTCCCAAGCTTAGATCCCCAGATGTTCTTGGACTACAACTCCCAGAAGCCTTCACCACTAGCTGTGCCGGCCAGGATTTCTGGAAGCTGCAGTCCAAGAATATCTGGGGACCCAAGGTTGGGAACCGCTTCTGTAGAGGGAATTTGTGGAGGACATGAAATTGGGTGGAAAAGGTCATACCTTGGAAGACAGGAACACCATTCAAAACGATCTTGATAGGCTTGAGCACTGGGCTGAAAACAACAGGATGAAATTGAACAGGGGTAAGTGCAAAGTTTTACACACAGGAAAAAGAAACCAAATGTACGGTCACAAGATGGGGAATAC